ATTGTCATGCTGAGGCGGGTATCGGGGAGAATTGGCTGGGATTGCAATACCAAGCCTCAGGTGGCTAAGGAGGGGGTGGGGAAGGATGGGTGGAATGAGAGGCATGGGCTGTCCTGCTTAGAAGAAGGATCTGGTGCCCTTCTCTCTCCCTTCTCAGCAGGGTCAGCGAAGAGGAATCTGTGTACCACCTCTGTCACCTGGGGCCCTCCAGCCACTTCCCCATGCTGAGCTGGGAGCCTCAGGCCTACCTTCCCTCAGGTGCCCTCGAAGCACTGCTCCGAGGTCCCCTGGTCTGTGTCCACTCTTGCATTATCCTCCGTGTCACCGAAGCCACCCCAGCCAGCCCCTCTCCCAGACTCAGAGTAGAAGGCCCCATCCTCTCCAACCCCAGGATTCCTCAAAGGGCTGGGACATCCTGAGACTTGGGCTCCAGCATCTACCTCAGGCCAGATGAGGGGGCACCAGTCCCTGTATACATCCCATGGCGGGAGACATAGTGTGGTGACACTTCACTGCATATTTTGAGACCTTATTCTCTAGATCCATAGTTAATGATGTCCCTAGCAGTCATTCCTCTTGCCATGGGGAAGTTTCTGATGAGAGAAAGGAGCCCCACATCCATTGAAACATCCTTTGGTTCTCAAGCAGAAGGCTTCTTCTGGGGGCAGTAAGGAAAAATAAAACTCAACAAGGCTCAAGAAGGGAACTATAGGAAAGTTCAGGTTTTTAGGCTATAACAGAGACAGTGAGAAAGCATCTGGGCCTTGCTCTTCCTCTTGGTCCTGGGGGCCTCATTCACCAACTAGAGCTTGGTGTGCAGGAACAGGGTCACAATGCTGAGGGGTCTTGAGTCCCACCTTTCAGCTTAATAGATGCTCACCTCTTCCCAGCCCCAGCTCATTCCCTGTTTTTCTAGCCACAGCCCCCAGATTGCTCATAGCTCCTCATGCCGTTTCCTGTCCAGATAGCTGTGTATGACTCTGACCTCTCTTGTTCAGTGGTCTGGTGCTCACCTCCTCTCACTGCTAGAATATTCACCAAGGGTTGCATTTGGGAAGTCTCTTACCAGCTCCTGCTTAGAGCTGGTAGGGCCATACATGTCCACACTCCCGACTGGTGGCTGTCCTGCTGAATGGGGCCTCAGCAGGTGCCCAGGCTGCTACAACCTTGGCCACTCTATTTCTCTACCCCACCATTGGGCATTGTAATTAGCCTTTCCCCATGTTAATTTATTCAGTTTTTCCAAGGGTCAACTGAATTCACCACTTCCTGTGTAAGAATCATGATCTCCTTTTAATTTCACCACTAAGATCCTGGCAGCTTCCCCTAGCTGGTTCCTCCGTAGTCCTACTGGGACTGTCAGCTCATTTAAATGTGGGTCTGCAGGAGGCTTTAGCTCTCCCCCAAGCCCCTTGCCTTTCACAGAGGAACCATTCATCAGGATAAATGATTATTGCTGCCCTATGGGTCTTGCTCAATACTGTTCATACCTGGAGAGAGGAGGTATTGAAACATCTCCTTTATGTGTGACTTTCGCAAATTTTAAAAAATTGTTTATGGTTTAGGCCCCTTAAATACTGTGTAGCAGGATGAAGTCTACCATTACCAACTGAGTCACCTTGGACAGGTCTGTCAACATCTAAGCCTCAGTTCCCTCGTCTATAAAAATGAGGGTAGTCCCTACCTCATAAGAGATATTGTGAGGATGGAAAGCGAAAGTGTGAGAAAATACCTCCCAAGTGCCTGGTACATAGTGGGTGCTAAATAAACCAGTTTTTGTCTGCAACTGTCCTACATAGTCATGCTTCCCACAGTAGGAAGAGAGGAGTATGGGTGAATTGGTACTGAAATTCACAAAATCTATAGTTCTGGGACTGTGATTCTCAAAGTGTGGTTTCTAAGCTAGCAGCATCAGCGTCATCCAGGAACTTATTAGAAATGCAATTTCTCAGGCTGGGCACGGTGGCTCACGTCTGTAATCCCAGCAGGGGAGATTACAGGGAGATTACTTGGGAGGCCAAGACGGGTGGATCAGGTCAGGAGTTTGAGACCAGCCTGACCAACATGGAGAAATGCCTCCTCTACTAAAAATACAAAATTAACCAGGCGTGGTGTCACGTGCCTGTAATCCCAGCTACTCGGGAGGCTGAGGCAGGAGAATCACTTGAACTCGGGAGGCGGAGGTTGCGGTGAGCCAAGATCGCGCCATTGCACTCCAGCCTGGGTAACGAGCAAAACTCCTCTCAAAAAAAAAAGAAAGAAATGCAATTTTTCAGGCCCCATCCTAGACCTTCTATGTCAGAAACCATGGGAGCAGAGCCCAGCAATTTGTGTTTCAATAAACCTACCAAGTGATCCTGATACACACTATTCGAGGTCTTAGCTGAGCAGACCTTGATCCAGAGGCCATTTTGGTGGGACAGGTTTGAGTTTTGTTGTCCAAGGCTTGAGTGTAAGAGGTGGCAGTGCTAGCTGGGCGAGAATTTGGGAAACCTTAACGGGGAGAGAGGTTATGACTCAAAGCCAGTTAACTTGACTGGACCCTACCTTCCTAACTAGAAGGATTTGCCGTGAGAGTTCTTTGCTCACCCCTGGTTGGGGAGCAGGATGGGCATAGGTGGTTGTGTTTGTTCAAGGGGTGATTATATTACAATGGTTCCATAAGAGGTCTGCTCATCTGGCTTTCCGTTTTTGAGCAGGGACCTGCACGCTTTTGGGACTTCTGTGGGGCTCCTGGCCTCTCAAACAATGGCCGCCCACCACTACTCAATGGTATTTTTGCCTTCCAGCTGAACTGGCTCCTTGTTCTAGCTTCTCAAGTAAATGTTCCCTCCCCGGTACCTTAGCCTGTCCTGGACTTCTAGGTTTTCCAAGAGTCATGTGACTCCTGACACTTTGCCCCACTTTCACCCTCCTAATTAATAGGGGTCTGACCCAATAGCCTGAGTTCTGAGTTCCCAGGACTGGAAAGTTGGGTGACCAACCATCCTGGTTTTCCTGGAACTGAGGGATGTCCTGGAATGAGGGACTTTCAGTGCCAAAACTTGGAAAATGCTGGGCAGATGGAAAAGAGTTTATCACTCTACTGGAAATGTTCCAGAGAGGCATTATTTAGAAGGTATGAAGGGAGTACTGAGGGGGCAATGCAGTTGCAAAGAGGTTTTTTTTGCATATGCATAATGGCTGACAGATTCTTAGCTCTACACCAGTGATCACTGTCTGTTTCCATGTTGCCATTTTTCTTCCAGTTGCCGACATTTGCTAGGTTGTCATTGACTCATGCAATCCTTAATCCCTGGGGCAATCGCAGATTCCTCTTCTGTGACCACCTCCCAGCCCCACCTCAAGTCTGGCCCTGAGTTCTCTGTTGTTACCTTCTGCAGTGGCCAGAGATATACTCCCTTCCTCAGGTCTCTATCAGTCTCTGATCCACCCTGCGCCCACAGCCAGATTGGCCTACCCTAAACAATGGTCTCATGTCTCTCTCTAAAACCTCCAGGGACCATGCTCTAAAGTACAATGCCTAAGTTCCTACCTGTGGCCCTTTCTCCTCCCCTCTCTCTGTAAATCCTTTGCTTCTTTCCTTTAGGATCAGTCACCTTTATAGAGACCAAGAGCATGGGCTCCTGAATCAGACAAGCAAACAACTCAGTCCTTGTGCTACCACTTGCAAACTGTCACGTGGCCAAGTTTCCTCAGGGTTCTGTGATTCAGTCTCCTTATCCTTAAAATGGGAAGAAAATTCTCTGTCCCCTTGGGTTATTTTAAGGATTAATACCTGCAAAGCACTTGGAACTGCTTAATAAAAGGTAGTTAATTGTCTGAAAATGCCAGGTTCCCTTCTACCTTCCAGCCTTGTTCACTCCCCAAGGCATATCCTCTCTTGGGCTCTCCACCTGCAACTAAGGCCCTAGCTGACCCCCCTTGAACCCATGGAGCTTCCTTGAAAGTGGGGTTGTCACACGTAGGCAGAGGCAGGAGAAAGTCTGAAGAGAGCTGGAGGACTGACAGGAGAGAAGGGAAGCAGGAAAGACACCTGAGCTTGGTCTGGGACCATTGGGGAGGGGAAGGCTTGCAACTACTGAGCGTTCCCCCTCCTCTCCCCTCATACTGTAGGAGGGTGATTATCACCAGTGGAATAAATGAATGTCAGAAATGTCCACTGGCTGAGTTAGGCTGGAATCCCTACCAGGCAAGGCCACTACTCCAAGCTTCACCCCAGCGGGCCAGGCCTTTCCACCCTCTGGCTGCTGGCACCATCGTAGTGGGAACATTTCCAGCTCAGGGGCCTGGCAGAGGGCTTCCAAGTAGGGGTGTGGCCTCTCTGGGCACCCATCTCTTTGCCTGTGTCCCAGCGGAGGGTTCTTTTGGCAGGATGGGGAAAGGGTCAGGCACCCATTAACAAATGACCTATGGGTAGGGAAGCAATGTCATCACCCTGGGGCCAACCTAGGGATTAGAATCAAGGTCTCCCAGGCACAGAGTAGGTGGGCCAAGACCCCACTGTCTTTCACTTAGGCCCGGTGACTTCCCCTTGGTAGACTGGTAAGCATCAGCCCTGATGGCTGGCTGGATGCTGGGTCCAAAACTTGACCTTAGGGTTCTTACTTTGTAAAAATGGCATAATTATTACCTACTTTAAGGGTTGCTATAAGGGCTAAAGGAAACATTGCATTGATAGCCCTGGCACAGTGCCAAGTGCAGACTCCATAGCACTTTACAGATTTTACTGTTCTTTGCTCATGACGGGAGTCTGAATAGAGGCATGGTGCGGCAGAGTCTCGACTTTATTCTAAAATATTGGGAAAGGTAGCCTGGACAACATAGCGGGACCTCCTCTCTAAAAAAAAGTTTTTAAAATTAGCCTGAGGTGGGGCTGCACGTCTGTAATCCCAGCTAGTCAGGAGATTGAAGCAGGAGGATTGCTTGAGCCAAGGAGGTCGAGGCTGCAGTGAGTGGTGATCGCTCCACGGCACTCCAGCCTGGGCGACAGAGCGAGGCCCTGGCTCAAACAACAAAACAAACTTACAAAAAAAAAAAAAACCGGGAAAGGTGAGCGTCTGGACTGTGGGCCGGAAGAGGCCCAAGTGGACCTCCTTCCTCCACCCTGGAACTCGGGCAGGAGGCAGAGCACGAGGTGAGGAGTCCCGGACCCCAGAGCCCAGGGTTGGCGGCGGCTTTGTCTTCAATCGTCCACCTGTATCTCCTCGTCTGACTGGTGGGGCCGGGAGTCAGGGCCGGCGGGTCCGAGGCGGAGGCTGGGATCTGGAGCGCCGTCGGGCAGTGCTAAGCTGCACAGGACTTCGGGGGACAGCGCACGTAGTGAGGCGACGTCGGCGCGCATCTCCTCCACGTCGCGCTTGAGCTTGGCTCGTCGGTTCTGGAACCAAGTGACCACTTGCGCGTTGGCCAGGCCTAGTCGCGTAGCTAGCCCGTCTCGCTCGGACGGCGCCAGGTACTTGTGGAAGACGAAGCGCCGCTCCAGCTCCAGCACCTGTTGCGCGGTGAACGCCGTGCGTGACTTGCGCCGTTTGCGGCCAGCAGGGCCAGGGCCCAGCGCGTTCGCGGCTGCCCGCCCTGCAGGGATAGGGAGGGGGTCAGTTTCCAGCCTCCAGGAATCAGGCTGCGGCCTGGAAAGAAAAATTGGGGGTGGGGTTGGGCCGGTGGCGGTGGGGAAAGTAGAGGGAGAGCCAGGAAGGCGGATGGGGACCCGAACTGTGATCCCTTACCGGGAGTCAGGCCCAGGTGGGGATAGGGGGCGCAAAGCGGGCTGGCCACGAGGATACGAAAGGCAGCAGGCTGAGGGCGTATTGTAGGGGCAAGGAAGTGAAGGAAGGGAGGGATGATTCAGAGGGGACCGGGTGCAGGGTCAAACCTTCTGGGGTGGAGCCTTTGAGGCTTTTAGGAGCCTCAGGCTGAGCAGGCTATAGGTTGAGGGTGACACCAGAGGCGACTAAGAGTCAGGGCAGCCGACCCAGCATGGCGGTGTTAACAGGACTTAGATCATGCCCTTCCATGGATCGGGTCGGGCATTTGGCTTACAGTTCCTTAGTGACACCAGAGCCCGCTCCTCGAGCCCAAAAGGGAAGATAATGAGGTACAGAGAGCGAGGAAAGGCAGAGTGCGCAGTCCCGCGCCCAATGCTGCGCCAAGGACTTTCTGCTCCTTGACTCCTCTCGAGAAGAGAGTGCCTTGGAGCGGAGCTTGGTCACCCGGAGAGACTCGACCCTCTTTCCAGCGCTTTCTGTGCCTCCCTTGCAGGCTCAGTCGTTTACCGCCTGCGGCTCAAGCCTTTTGTCTCTTTCTCTCCTGCCTTTCTCTATCGCGACTGCCCTGCCTACAGGGAACAGAGCAACTGGTAGCTCAGTTGGCGACAGTCTGCCCTTTCCCTGCGGTACTGGCGGCCTTCCGGAGCCGCCGCGGAAACTAGGGACTAACGGAAGAGAGGTGAGAAGTCGCAGGTGCGAGTCCTGGCATGTGGGCTGAGGACAGGGGACGGATTAGGGTGGGTGGCCTGGGGTGGGACAAAGGTTTGAGACGGGGAATCAGGAGGAGAGAGGTGGGGAAAAGGCCAAGTCAGAGTCCGCGACCTTGCCGGCTCTATACCTTCAGAGGGCTGCGGAGCGCGCGCGTCAAGTCCGCGGAAAGTTTTACTAGTCAGCTCCTCCAGCGCGCACAGCGGCGACGTTGGACCCGGACCCGACTCTGGAAGCTGCGGCGCAGAGGGTGCTCGGGGGACCATGCCCGGGGCTAGGATGTCTGCGATGCTTAAGAGTGTCCGGGGTGTTCGGGGCTCGCGTCCCGAGTTCATGGTCGGCCGGGCTGGGGCGGTCCCGCTGCCCGCTGCGCTCGGCTCCGCAGCCGCCTGGGCCCCAGCGCTTGGCTCCCGATCCGGGCCCCTAGCCTCGGACCCGCCCCCGGCTCTGGGCCCGAGTCCCGTGTGCCCCTCCTCCTGCGTCCCCACCTCTCCACCCTGGGCCCTGATGGGTTTGGAGCTCCTAGATGTCCGGGGAGGGTAATTCTGCAGGCTGGGGCAGGCGCGGAGAGCAGAAGCCGACCAAACTACCCTTCAGAGCAGGGCCGCGGGGCTGCTCCGCGCTGCGGGGTGCTGCACTGTGCACAGTCAGGCCGGGCCATACCTCCAGACGCTGTATGCCGCCGACTCCCCGCCTAGCAGCCGCTCTGGCTCATAAACTCGTAGACGATAAAATTGCCTTCTCTGGCCCCAGCGGCTGGGGATTTGCAAAGTTCTAAGGAAGGCTATCAGGACTGACTGTGCTGGGATATCTGATCCCAGCTAGGACCTCAGTCTCCTAACCTGGCTCCCTCTTCCCCACCCCACCCCTGAGAAACATTGTTTAAAAGGTCCTGGCGGCTGGAAGTGATTAGTGCTGCGTGGGTCGGGGGCGCAACACTTGAGAGGACCTGGCCTGGCAGAGCGACTGCAACTGGGAGTAGTGGGGATGCCACGAAGAAGCAAGCACAGGTAAATGGATTCTAGGCTGCCCCACCTGACGAGGTCAGAACACACAGAGAAGCTGCCAGGAGACCCGGGCCGCAGGAGAGAAGACCCAGGGAACTCCAAACTGGTGCAACTGCCCAGGAGGGGTCTTTGTCAGTGAGGACTGGCAAAATCAGTCGATTTTGTCTGTCTTTGTCTTCTTCTTCTTAAGCTCCCATAGTTCAGGTATGTATGGTTTCCCCAGCCTGCGGAGGCTCAGAAACTGCCAAGAGGAGCAAGGTGCCCTGGCCAGAGAGGGGTCACTCCCCATAGAAGAGAGACTTGAAGGGCAGACTTTACGAACCCAGCTGGATTTTGGGACAGGCATCCTGACAACCCAGGTGCTAACTGTGAGGCCTGGTGTATTCATTCCTCTTTAATCTGGGTTTTATCTGCCACACTTATACTGGTTCTGGGCTCATACCTGGGTAAGCACCTGCAGCCCTCCTTTGTAGGAAGAAGGCAGCTCAGGGACAGCGGTGCCTCAGCAGTGGAGACCCAGCAAGGTATGGGTTTTGTTCCTACATTCCACCCCAAACAGTTGGAGGATTGACAGCCCAGAGGCAGGGAAGCCCTGCCACTCCTGAGGAGCTTGCAGCTTTGCTGCCCAGGGAAGTTAGAAACTGATGTGCTTCTAGCTTTTTAAAACAGTGCCACGAAGAACCAGGCCAGTCCCTCCTGGACTGTCCATTATGTCACTTTTCTTGTAGACTGCTGCGTCTCCCACCATCTGTGCAGTGTCCACCTGTCTATTCCCTGGGGCAACTGCAGCATGCAATTGGGGTTCCCTAAACAGGGCTTAGGAGATCCAAGGCACCTGGGCCAAAGACTCTTTGACAAAGATGGGAAGGCACCTTCATAGGGTCTTCTTGGTAAAGGGCTCACTCCAACAACCCCCCTCCCCCACCCACAACATTCACACAATGCCCTCCTGGAAAGCTGAGCAACACACTTAAAGCCTGATAGGCCACTGCTGGATCAAAGAGCAGAGCCAGGCCATGGTGGAAAGCTGAGCTGCCTCAGGACCTTGTTAAATGGTTATTAATGGTGAGGGGCAGAGGAGGTCCTGGAGAGATCTTCGGGCTACAGGCCTCAGCCCTGGAAACCATCCCAGTGGTTTCACTTAATGTGCAATAAAGCGGCTCTCTGGAGGCAGCAGGAACTGCCCCACTGCATCCCAGGCATGTCACCAAGCAGACGCTGCAATCTTCACTCATACATCCTCTATGTGGCTTTTGTGTCTGTCTCTACCTCTGCTCTCAATTACTTGCGTGTGTCTGTGAGGAGTGCGGAGCTCCTTATGGGCCTGTGCCTTGCAGCCCCTTCCATCTCTCCCGCCTGGTTCTCCCCTCTGCAGCTGGGCTCAGGTACTGGGATTGGACAGCTCCCAAACATGAGTTTGGGGGAGGAGATGGAAGTGGAGACTAGCAAAGGGAGGAGGCCCAGGACAGCAGAGGCCCCTCTAAGGTCATCATAGCGGCCAGGGACTAGTCCAGGGGATCGTGGGGCCACAGAAGGGGACTTTTCCCAGTACTGGAACTCGAGCTGGGGAGAAACCGGATCCACAGAGAGGGGTAGGAGGAGGGTGAGTGATTAATGAGGAAGATTAAGAGATTAAACCTTGTTCTAGGTTGGGGAGGGGACACTTACTCGGCTGTCCTATAGGCTACCCGCAACCCCAGCTTGGAAGCGCAGAAAATCCCGGGTGCTCGCCTCTTCCCGCCCACGGGTGGAACCCTCCCTGTTCAAGATCCTTCTCAAGAGATGCAGGGAGGCCAGCCTTCACCACTGGCCCCGCGGGGCGGACGGTTTTCCTTCCCCGTCATCCTCAGGCAATCTCTTGTGTTTCCCACCTTCTCAGATTCCTTTTATTGTCCCTTCAGACATTTCAGGGCCCTGCACTCCCTCCCCTTGTAGAGATCCCCACATTCCAAATTCGGTCTCTTGGGAAGGCACCCCATTCCCACTTAAGGATGCTTTCTCACACCTCCCCTTTCAGATTTCCCATTCTCATCCCCCAGCCCTACCCCCACCTTATCTTGCATACCCCATCGGCGGGTTCCTCCACCCCGGGCCGCCCCTGCTCAACCCAGTTCCCCACTGGTGGCACGGAGTCCTGCTCAATAAACGACCTTTAGTCTCTGATTGCCTGGCCCGGACATTCCACTGAATTCTGTGAATGTGTAGGAGGGTTGGAGTAACCCCTCAGAATAACCCCTTGGGGAGGTGGACAAGGACAATCTGAGAGAAGAGCTTGCCCCCCTCCTCCCCACCCTTAGGGAACATCCGTGAACGGGAGTGAGAGGGAAGTGGGAGTTCAGGGAGGAAAGTCCAGGCAGAGGAGCGTGAGAAGGGGCGTCCGTCCGTCCCGCACACTTCTGGGATTGTTTTCTCTTTCAAAAAGAGCTACTGCGGAGTGAACCGATCCTTATATTTTAGTTTCATGACTGGGGGCGCGGCAGGCCTGTGAGTTGTTTTGCGCCCTGGACGTTGTTTTGCAAAGATCTCTGCGCGCCCACCGCCACCCTCCCGGGTGTGCGGGTGGGGAAGCAGCCAGCGGTGGGAAACTCGGACGCCCTCCCCGACACTTTTCTCCCCGCAACTCCGCAATAATCACTTCTAGGGAAGTCCTTTTTCCCATCAAGCCCTGGGAATGATTGGCCAGGCTGAGAGAGGGACCCGTCCTCCTCTGTGCCAAAGGCTGGAGCAAATCCTGGTGCTGTCGCCTTTGCGTGTGAGTCCTGGAAATGGCGGGGTTGAGGAAGGTGGGCAGAGGCAAGGTTTGGCCCCCCAGGGGAGAACAGACGCCTTGTCCCGAAAGTGCAGCACGGCCGAGAGCGTCCAGGGGTGCAGACAGCGCCCTGGGGTGGTCCTGCCGCCGCCTCTCCTTTGACTCCGGAGCGCCGCGCCGCGTCCGGGCGCGTTCTCAGTTGTTCGAAGCCAGAGAGGACCCTGGGCGTGATTCTCCCTCCCTGGCACAGACGGAGACCCGAGTGACCCCGGGGTCCGGGTGGGAGTGGGGAATGGACCCATAGGCCCGGGACGAGCGGCGCGGAGCCCGCAGCTGGCCAGCTTCAGCCACCTTGGGAGACGCAGTGCAGCTGCCGCTGCTGACAGACTAGACCAAGGCTCGGCCGGGCCCCACCCCAGACCCGGCCAGAGCGCCTTCCGCGCTGCTTGGCCTCAAGGCGTGAGTCACCAAGGGCCTCAAGTCCCGTGACTTGGTTCTCAGGGTCTCCGGCCTCGGGCCCATTAATCTTCAGACCTGGCTTTTTCGACGCCGAGCTGCCGCCCAGCCCCAACGGGAGGGCCTTCCAGGGAGACCAAGTCGGACTGCTCCCCAACTCCCGCAGCTGCTCGGCCCCTGCAAAGCCCCCGGGAGCGTTTCTACTCTCCCTTGAGCCCATGCCACTCCCCTGTCACTCCTAGGAAACTCGTTTTTGCGCAGAAACTCCTGGAGAACAGCCCTGGCCGCCACGTACTTGCCCGGACTGCAAAGCCCACAGAGCTTCAATTCGGAGGAAGAGTGGGGAGCCCTGAGCTGGGGTGTTCCTGGAGGAGGTCGAGGAGGGGGCTAGTGGGGGGGAGGCATTCCCTGGAAACGTTTGGAAGCTTTGGTAATCTTGGAGACCATGTCAGGAAAGAAGCGTACCCATGCCGTCCGCGGTATGCCCACCCGGATCCCCATCAGTGCCCCACGCACTCGAGCTCTTCCTCGGCGTCTGCAGCCTCTTCATCCGCGCGGAGAGGCGGAGGTCTCCCGGAAAGCCAGTCCGACTGTGGCACCCCAGAGCGTCCAATGCGAGCTCAGGCCTTTCCCACAAGTCTGGAGTTTTCTTACCCAGTTGAGGCCACCTTTGCTGTACTCACTCCCTACCCTCCCGCCCCATCCTCTGCCACCCTACCTCCATCTTTGATGGTTAGCGCCTTCCGCCCTCAACAGCTTCGCACAACCAATCCCCTAGAAGCTGTGAAGTCAGACCAGCCAGGGTGGGACCTAGGTTTTAACTCGGGTTCTGGCTACACATGCTGCGCCTCCATACAGTTTGTCCCAGATTTGGCAGCAGGCCGGAACTCTGCTTTGGCCTCTGTCTGTTCCTGTCGCAGTTGGGCAAGTTTCTAGCTACCCCACTGAGAGGACCATAGAACAAGGACCCTGGCATGGCATACAGACAAGGAATGTTTGCTCAATTAATGGAGCTGGTGCCTTGCAGCTTCCCTCTTGTTCCTTGAAGTTGCCCTTGCTGTCCTCCACATCAGCTCCCTCTCCTCCTCAGCTACTTATTCCCCATCCTGACTTCTAGTCTTGGTCCCCAAGTACTTGTTGAATTCTGTATGGACAGCCAAGCATCCACTTTTGACAATCCCTGTGGCCCCACCCCATTTGTTTTTTAGACTTCTCCCTCCTTTTTGTCCCCATCCCCCAAGTTATAAAACTGTAACACAATTCTTCGGATTTTTCTTTAAAATATCTCACTTGTTCAATCCTGCAGCAGCCACTGTCCAACTCCAGCCTTCTCACCACCGCTGAATTAGGACATCTCCTAAGAGGCCCGCACCCACACTGTATGCTGCAGCACACAAGGACAGCTGAGAGCTCCCCTCGAGGAAGGCTTCCCATCACCAAAAAGAGTGGTGTGGGAGGCCTGGTTTCACACATACAGGGATCCTCTACCCTTCTCCTTTGGCAAGACATTGAGGGCCCATGGCCATAGAGCACAGGTCCTTCTTCACAATGAAACTCAGGATTTTTGAAGAAGGCAGGACACGCATGAGTGTGAGGCAGGAAGAATAAGGAAGAGAGGTGCTTTTTAAAAGTTTTTATTTCAAAAAATAAAGCTGCAGTTCATTTCACATAAATATCTGGGGAGGGAAGGGGAGTGGGATGGGGTGGGGGCTTGGCCCCTACCTCCTCTTCTCTTTCACACTGTATTGTAAAAGCAAAGGGGATGGCTAAGGAGAGAATGAGGAAGTAGTAGTCAGTGGGGAGTATTATTATATTATCCAAAGGGCCCCTCAGCGCACCCTTCCCCTGCGGACTGTGGGTTGGTTGGGGGGAGTCTGAAGGGGGGTGAAGCCAGGGAGGATGGCCTGGCTTACCTTGCCGAACCAGCGGGAGAGCCATATCTGCTTCATTGTCATGTGATCAGGGAGAACTTCATTGTCAAAAAGGAGCTGCACCTAGGAGGGAGATGGGGGTATAATTTTAGGAACTTTCTGGCAGGTCAAAAACTACCCTGGTCCACCCTAGACTTTGTCCCTCCTTTCTTAGCCCCTTCTCCCCTCCAAGAAACCAACTGTGAGACTACTCACATGCTGAGGGTTTAGCATCAAGCGGTGACACAGGACCCTCCGGAGATGGCGTACCTCAGCTCTAACAGAACATCGGACATACTTGTTCTGGGAGCAGGGAGGGGAGGGAAGAGGGCAAGGTGTGTGAGGGAAGGGCCATGGGAGGTGAGTCTCCTTAGAGAGGCCCTCCCCTCAGCCCTTCTCACCTGCAGGACGCTTTTATTCTTGTCTTTGCCAGAACTGGGGGGAAATAGACACAGGTTAGGGAACCCTATCTTTCCTCCTCTCCCCCACCCAGAGCCATGATATACTCTCTTCAAGGGGATAGGTACTCACTCACTGCTTGGCCTCTCCCCCATACCCTCCCTGGCTCTGGGTCATTGGCACTGTCACCTTCTGCAACCCCTGACCTTCTCCTACCTCAGCCGCTCCAGGCACAGGTTCAGCTGCTCATCATAGCGATAGTAGTGGGCTTTAGAGTGGTCAAAGCTGCTGAAGGGGAGGCCAAGGTTGCTCAGTGCTGGCTCTGAGAAAGATAGGGTAGTGAGGTGGCTGGTGGCACACATTCCATACTCCTCTTTCCCCAGAGAGCAAAACTGGGCAAGAAGAATGCTCTGGGGGCTTTACTCTTCCGCGGCCAAGGACATACCTTCCCCACTGGGCTGGGTGACCCGGTCCAAACCTCGGGACTGGTAGAATTCCCGAATCCGTTTCTCTTCACCTAGAAGAAGGTGAAATATGAGAATAAAGTATTAGCCCCTCCTCACTCTTTGTCCTTCCCTCATCTTTGGCCTTCTGCCTACATGATTCCTACCAAAGCCCCTGTCACCTCAAGCTGCCACTCAGCAATTAGTCCTCAAGAAGCCCCTCAAAGTCAGGTTGGTCACTCACTGTCTTGCAAGCCAGGCACCAGCTTGTACACGATGTCCTGCATGACCCGGTCCAGTTTGAGGTTGAGCAGTGGCTGTGTCTCGTGGATCTTAATGTTGCACATGGGGCAGTACTTGCTAGTTTGGAGGTACTTCACAATACAACTCTTGCAGACTGCAGGAAAAGAAAAGTAGATTCTCAGGCCCTCTGGAAACTGGATTCATGGGCTGGGTGGGGTGCCTGGATTCGTGGGGCAGGCCGCACAGAAGCTGGCAGTCGGCTTGGTGAAGACTAGGGACTGGAAGAACTAGGCAGTCTCCAAGGCACTCACAAGTATGAAGACACTCTGTGATGGTGGTGGCATCCACGAAGTAGCCGGCGCATAGGCAGCAAACAATGTGTTCATTCAAGTCTTTGATCTTCACTCGAACTTCCTCCTGAATATACACCCTCCGTCACCAACCATCCACCCTCAGCCCCCAACCCGTGCGCCTTCCCACTCTGGGGGTCGCCTCCTTCATCACACTCCACGGCCAAGCCCCGCGTCCTGCGCCATCAGCCGGGGATGAGCTCCAGGGGGCTGGCACTCCCCCTCCGCCCAGCAGAGGGCTCCGCGCACAGCGGGGGCTTCCCTCACGTGGACTCGCCTGACCCTCCTTTCCCAGGGGAGACTACACAACGTCGGCGACACAATGCGCAGGCGTCCTAAGCGGAGTTTGGCAACCCGATCGCAATCACGCAGGCGCACTGGGTACTCTGTCTCTGCGCAGGCGCACTGGGCGCCCGGCCAGCCACCGCCCGTCCTTTAGCCCGCCCCAGTTCGCACCGCTGGCCGACCACAGCAGTAACCCTGCCGCCCTTGCACCTCGTTCCGTAGCGGGTCCATCTTGTACACTGACTGGAGCTGGTTCCGAAGCCTCATCGCGATCGCAATCTGGCCCCCCTGAGGAGACGCCATCTTAAAGGCTGATCCCAGCCTGCCACTTCCGGTGCCGCCTGCAGGGCGGGACTTGTCTCCCAGCAACGAGGTTCTAGGTCTTTTCGGATTCGCTCACCCTCTGTAAGGCCCCGCCCACGTTCCTTTCTCCCCGTGTGCTCACCTGAGCCCCACCGGCCCCTCCCCTCCTCAATCCGTAATTAAGGAGTGGTGGGGGGGCATAGGGAAGGGTCCTATCTCTTCAGCCTCCTGTAGAACTCATCATAGTAGACCCTAAGCGACCTCAAGACTAACTTTTGGAGCCTGCGAAAGACTGCCCCCTCCTACCCCCAAAGGCCCGGCAGTCTTGTGCCTGCTACCCGCTCAGGGTCGTCGGTCTTCTGTGACGACTACCCTGCTGAAGAAGCCCCTCCTGGGTCCTCTCCTCGTAATGCCGCCCTGTCGGCGTCCGCGGAGCGGAGCTTCATCCAGATGGCGGGCCTTCTCCCCGCTCCACGGAGGGAGTTTCTCGGGCTTTGCAGAGTCTCGGAGAGGGTGCCGGGGGATGGGGAGGGAGAGACCCCCAGGGACTTGGTAGTGATCTTATCCCCCCATTCTCCCCCTGCTGCCGGGGATGGGGGGGCAGGCCCTGGTTAATGATGATGATTTAATCATCGGCGCCTGCGGAGGCCTGGGACAGACTAATGCAGAGCAGATGCCGAAGGAGGAGGGGAGGACGACTAGGACACTGCCACACACAGACAGGCTTAGGCAGCGAGCGCCTGTAGTAGCATAGGCCCAGCCTCGCACTTGGGGATTACGCGGGATGCTCGAGAGCTCTACACCGCCAGCCCTGGGTACTTAAAAAAGGATAAATTTCCTTTGAGGTATTAACATCAAATGTAACTGGAGATTCGAGAAGGGAGAGATTCCAATGGAGACCTCAAAAAGGCTTTCTGGAGAAAGTGGGACTTTGGGCACAATTTAGACTTGGGGGAGGGGGTGGAAGTGTGCTGAAATAGAAAGGACGTGGAGGGGAATGACCAGAGGACAGGAAGGTCAAGATGTAGATTTGAGAGTGGTAATAGAAAAAGCAGGGCCTTAAAGAGTTGCAATTTTTAGCCTGAGGGCAATTGGGAGCTAGCGGACTTTTTTGAAGGGAGGAGGTTATCCTGTGAAAGCGACATTTTTGTTCATTTCTCTTCAGAGGGAATTGGAGTGAATATGCAGCAAGAAGTTATGAGATTAGTGATTAATCAACTATTCATTACAGCCACTGTTTACCTACTTCCCTGGTCCAAGTCACTATCCTCTGTAGTGGCTTCTTGACTGTTTTCCTTGAGTCCGCCTTCGCGTGTTCTCAACATAACAGCTCAGTGCTATGTTTCTCAGAGCTAGTGATTCTGATAAAATATGAAACACAAAGGACAAAGGACAATTTTTGAGATGTGGATGTGTTTATTATTTTTATGGTGATGTTGGTTTCATGGGTATATACATATGTCAAAACTTATCAAACTGTACACTTCAAATATCTGCAGTTTATATGTCCATTATACCTCAAGAAAGCTATTAAAAATAAAGTTGAAAAATTAGGTTGTTTCTTTTTTACTGTTTAAAACCTGTTGAGAGCTTCCCTTTTCAATCAGAATAAAAGTCAAAGTCTTACAGTGGTGTGCAAGGGCCTGCATAGTCTCTTCAGATACACCAGGATATCCTTCCACTGTGTCCCCAACTTGAAATGCTTAGGCATCCAAAATGGCTCCCCCCTTCTTTCAGGTCTTTACTCATGAGGCTTCTGTAATCACTCTAGATGAATAACAACTCACCCACCCTTTCACTTCCTTGCTTTTTTTTTTTTTTTTTTGTTAGCATTTATTAGCATTCTTAGCATTTATTATTATTTAATATACACTTCTAATATATATTATAAATATTTTCTAGAAAACATATTTCCTAGTTTTTCATCTGCCCTTTCCACTAGACTATAAGCTTCTCAGTGGCAGGGATTTTTTTCCTCTGTTGTGTTCACAGATACAGCTCCAGTGCCAGCTGCATAGTTGGTGTTCAATAAAAATTTTCTGGATGAATACATGAATGAATCCAAGTGGTGGTGATGACAGCCTCAATTAGGGTTTTAGCAATGGCAATGGAAAGGAAGGGCTGTATCTGAAACATTTCAAAGGAAAGTATAATAGGAGGAAGTAGCCAGGAACCTGGCTTGGTAGGCCTGGGTAAGAGGGTGAAAGAAGAGCTTTGGAGGGAAGCATGTCCTCCAGCCTGCTGGACTTATGTGGCTGCGGGGAAGCAGGGGGAGCTTGTTAGAAGGCTAGAAGAGTGAGTGGTGGGGCTGAAGTGTCAGAACGAACCAGGGATGGAGGTCTCAGAGTTATCTGGCTGGATATGAGAGTTGGGACTTTTGGAATGGGTGGAACTTGAGCAGATGTAGAGATAAAGAAAGTTTAAGGCCTGGCGCAGTGGCTCACGCCTGTAATTCCAGCACTTTGGGAGGCTGAGGTGGGTGTATACTTGAGCCCAGGAGTTGGAGACCAGCCTGGGCAACATGGTGGGACTCCGTCTCTACAAAAAGTACAAAAATTAGCCTGGCATGGTGGCGTATACCTGTAGTCTCAGCTACTTGGGACGCTGAGGTGGGAAGATTGCTCGAGCCTGGGATGTTGAGGCAGCAGTGAACTATGATCGTGCTACTGCACTCCAGCCTGAGCAACAGCGTGAGATCCCGTGTCTTAAAAAAAAAGAAAAAAGAAAGCTTAAGTGTGAGCTCTGAAGAATCCTCACAGTCTTCAGTGGAAAGAGCCAAATCAGTGGAAGAAAAACATAAGCAGTGACTACGAAAGTCCAAAGATGTGGAATAAGATATTACAGAAGCAAAAAGAAGGGACACTTCAAAAAATAATTGATGACCAACAAAGTATGTCAGGGAAGTCCTGAAGGAGGGATACTGAACACTGGAGCTCTCTGAGAAAGGGTTACTATAATGAAGGCAGCTTGCACTGAGTTAAGAATAAATCATGATGAAATGGAGGCAGTACGCATGAAGTAAAAAGGAAAGGAAAAGCATGATCTCTTTTGAAGACTCAGGCCAAGATTTTGTCCAGATAATAAAGATCTGAGACAGTTGAGGCATAGGAAAGACTAAGTTGGTGAGAGCCACGGACACACAGGACATGGTGAGACAGATCCAAAGCAGTGTGTTTGAGGGGGCACTCATTCCAGCACCTCTATCTTCAACATAAACCAGCAGGAACAATCGTTTCCCTGTGAATCAGATTCAAGGAGGCAAGAGAGGACATTTCAAGCCAGGTTGGGATGGTGGCACACACCTGTAACTCTAGATACTCAGGAGGTCAGGGTGGGAGGATTGTTTGAGCCCAGGAGTTTGAGGCCAGTCAGCCAGCCTGGGCGTCATAGTGAGATGTCTCTTAAAAAAAGAGAAAGTCCTAGGACTGTGGTCTGAGTGACATAACTGGATACCATCTGTTCTTGAAGTGGGGCACTAAAATATTTTTAAAACTCCCCAGAAGACTTGTATGAACTACTGAGTTTGTGACCATTCTTAAACGATTAGTTGGACAGTCTCTGGGTGGCAGTACCATCTGTGCTGAACTCAAAAGGCAGGGGTGTGTGTACGGGTCTGCATGATGTTGCCTTTTTTTTCATTTGTTGATTCACTCACTGACTCATTCAAGGATTTATTTAGGTTGGCTGGAGACACACTGGTTACCCTGCCCCCCTGCCCCCAGACTCACCCTTCAGAGCAGAGAAAGGGACTAGCAAACTCCTAACCTGCACACCAGCCCCCCATTCAGAGATTATATTTCTTTGCTGTCTCCCTAGGTTCCCTGTTCCCATCTGGGGGAATCCAGCCCTTGCTATCAAGGAAGATTTTTTTTTTTTTTTTTTTTTTGGAGATGGAGTCTTGCTCTGTCACCCCAGACTGGAATGCAGTAGTGATCTCGGCTCACTGAAACCTCTGCCTCCTGGATTCCAGTGATTCTCAGCCTCCCCAGTAGCTGGGATTACAGGTGCCTGCCACCATGCCCAGCTAATTTTTTTGTATTTTTAGTAGAGACAGGGTGTCACCATGTTGGCCAGGCTGTCTGTGTTGAACTCCTGACATCAGGTGATCTGCCCCCTCTTGGCCTTCCAAACTGCTGGGATTACAGGTGTGAATCACTGCTCCCGGCCTGAAGATTTGGACTAAACAGGTTCATGCTTCCTTGTAGCCCTCTCAACTGCTGAGAAAAGTGCATGGGTTTCTGTAAAGGGATGGGAGGTGATAATGTTGTTTGTCTTCTCCATCAAGATGAAAATACATCTGGTAAATTGGTAGGAGCCCCCATCCTCTTTCAGAACAGGCTGTGAGCAGGGCTGAGGAGGGGCTGGACAAATTGGATAGTAGAGGTGGTCAAGATGGGGGAAGTTGACACTTTTTTTTTTTTTGAGACAGAGTCTTGCTCTGTCACCCAGGCTGGAGTGCAGTGGCACGATCTTGCCTCACTGCAAGCTCCACCTCCTGGGTTCATGCCATTCTCCTGCCTCAGCCTCCCAAGTAGCTGGGACTACAGGCACCTACCACCACGCCCGGCTAATTTTTGTATTTTTAGTAGAGACGGGGTTTCACCGTGTTAACCAGGAAGGTCTCAATCTCCTGACCTCGTGATCCCCTCCCCCCGGCCGCCTCGGCCCCCCAAAGTGCTGGGGTTACAGGCGTGAGCCACTGCGCCCGCCAGGTTGACACTGTTCCCCCTACTGCCCTCTGTCCCATTTATAGTTCACCTCCTCTAGACATAAGGCTTCGGAGAACACTGGAGGGCTGGTAGGGCTGGTGGACAGAGCTCACTCTTCTTTCTCTTCATCTTCCTGCCCAGATGCCCAAATATCATTCCTGGTTCCCAGGGGAGAAAAGACCCCCTCACCCTGCCCCAGGCACCAGGCTGCCGGCCCATCTGCTGGGGAGAAAGGAGGGGGCAGAGTCTTTCCCAGGGGATCCTGAAGAATCAGTTTGAAGATCAGTGCTCCCAGGGAGATCCAGCTACTAGACTTCCAAGGCATTTCGGTTCACACGGGAAACCAGCAGGATGGAGCTGAACAGCGGGGTGGGCTGGGGACGAGGGTAGAGGGCTGGCACAGCAGAGTAAGGTCCTTTGGCTACCACGTGTCAGAGGTAGGCTGAGCTGCTCATTGGTGCCCACCCGCCATCGCCACCGCAGGATGGTAGAAGCGCCCCCCTCTCTGAGCCCAGTCTCACCGGCTCAGAGGCGCCAGGGCCCCCCCGGGGGCCGGGGCGGGCCGGGGAAGGTAATGTAATTCCGGCCCAGCTAACCCGATTACGGCGGCCTGCACCGGGCAGGGCGGCGGCGGGGGCGGGTCTAAGGCTCAGGGGCCCGTCCGGCGGGGGTCCCATCCCCGGGAAGGACGCAGAGTTCACACACTCCCAGCTCCTGGATCCACGGCCAGAGGTCACAGGGTCACCAAGCGGCTTGGGTCTTTCCCCACCTCCCTTCTCTGACAGCTCCAGGCCATTTTCTGATTTTGGGTGGGGTAAAATGTTTATGGGAAACAAGGCGGCCAGGATCCAACCAAGGCCTCAATGAGGTCCCACGTGTCCCTTGTGGCGAGATTTCGCCCTCCCGCCGTTGAGGAGGAAGAGTGTGAGAACAGACTTCCTAGGCACAGAATGGAAGGGCGGAGTCCTGCACTGGGGACTCCCTGCACTTGGGGTCCGGGGTAGAGCGCCAGCCCCAAGAACCCACCGGCCTGATTTGGCCGGGGTTGAGCCATGGGCCAGTTTACACGGATTTCGGAAAATCGAAATTCTAAGAAACACGGGACATCAATTACCGGTGCGCATGAACAGGGCTGGGGGGGACCTGCAGGAGAGGCCGGAAGGCGCACCACGGTCGCCGGCCCAAAGCGGCCGTTCCCCGCCCTTAGCCCCTGCCGTCCCCTTCCCACACCTGTTCTCTTCCTGGGCCTGCAGCTCACCGGGCGCCGTTCCCCAGCCGCTTCTTACGCAGCCGGGAAACCACAACGAGATTTGGTCTTCGAGGGCACTTAGGCGGGGACCACAACGAATCCAGGAGTTGGCCAGCAGGATCCATCGAGAGGCGAAGAGTGGGGGCTGGGGGAGGAGGCACCTGCGGAGGAAGCCGGTGAGGCGGAGGCAACCCAAAGGCGGAGGCCAGCAAGGAAGGAGGCGCGGTGAGCATCTCCGCTGACTCAGCGGCCCATGCTCGGGCCCCTCCCGCGCTGAGCCTGGTTCCTAACACCCTGGCCCCCTGTCCCCCGCCCCGCACATCTCCACCAGCCAGCCTTCCCCCTGCGCTTGGCGCAAACAGGCGTCCCTTCCCCTTTAACTGCTGGGCCCCGCCCCTGCCCTACCCCCAGCCCCCACTACCCACCCGGGCCGATCCGTCAGTCACTGCCCCAGCCGGAGCTGGCCAACCCTCTCCACCCGGGACTTGGGCAGCGGCGCCTGCAGCCCAGCGTCTATTTGCGCTTGAGAGCCAGCAAGAAAGCTCCAGGGGCCCCAGCCGGCCGTGCTCCCCCGGGATGCAAGTCCCTGCGCGGACGCCCGGCAGCGGCTGGCACGGGCGCGGCTGCTCCGGGTGCACAGGGATGCTGCTGTTCTGGGGACCCCGGCGCCCTGCCTTGGCCAGCCCCGCGGGCCCCTGAGGCCACTGTCCGGAGCGCGCCGCCGCCGGTCTTCTGGAGCTGCCTGAGGCATCCTCCCCAACCACCGAACCTCCGGCGGTTCTTCTCGGCCCGGGCCGATGGAGCCGGGGATGCTGGGTCCACACAACCTCCCACACCACGAGCCAATCAGCTTCGGCATCGATCAGATCCTGAGCGGCCCCGAAACCCCTGGGGGCAGCCTAGGTCCGGGTCGCGGGGGCCAGGGTCATGGGGAGAGTGGGGCGTTCTCGGGTGGATACCACGGAGCCTCGGGCTACGGTCCCGCTGGCTCACTGGCCCCGCTGCCCGGCAGCTCCGGAGTGGGCCCGGGCGGCGTGATCCGCGTCCCTGCGCACCGCCCGCTGCCTGTGCCGCCGCCCGCGGCGGGGGCGCCTGCAGTGCCTGGGCCCTCGGGTTTGGGCGGCGCCGGAGGCCTAGCGGGACTCACCTTCCCCTGGATGGACAGCGGCCGCCGCTTTGCCAAGGACCGGCTCACGGGTGAGGTTGTCTGACCCCTCCAGTGTCACGCCCGACTCTGACCCCGTCTCCTCATCTCTTAGCTTTCCGCTCCAACTCAAGGACCCCTTTCACACCTCCCACTAGATCCTCCCAGGGGATCCTCCCCCAACTCGAATCTCTGGGTCCTGCCTCCGAGAGGCGATGGGGAGGGAGCTGCCGTCGGTGCCCGCGCCCTCCTTTGCAGTCCCACTGTCCAGGCGCGGGGAGGGTAGGGTGAAGTTACAGGGGACGCCTCCCTAGCATCCCAGGGGAAGGGCCTTTCTTGGCTATAGGGCTCGGCTGATGCTTAGGATCCGGGTAAGGGCAGGGCGCGGGAGCTCTGCGGCCTGGACAGCGGCGCGGCCTTCTTAGTGGCACCTACGGCTACCCTGCAAACCCTGCCCTGCTCTTTCTTCCTCCCGGTAGCTGCGCTCTCGCCCTTCTCTGGGACGCGCCGCATAGGCCACCCCTACCAAAACCGGACCCCTCCGAAAAGGAAGAAGCCGCGCACGTCCTTCTCCCGCTCACAGGTGCTGGAGCTGGAGCGGCGCTTCCTGCGCCAGAAGTACCTGGCCTCTGCGGAGAGGGCGGCATTGGCCAAGGCCTTGCGCATGACCGACGCACAGGTCAAAACGTGGTTCCAGAACCGACGCACCAAGTGGCGGTGAGGCGCGGCGCGGGCGAGGGCGGACGGTGTCCCCGGGCCGGGCCTGGTGAGAAGCGAGGCGGCGGGCAACCCCGCTGACCCCGCGTCTCCCTTCCCCAGGCGCCAGACGGCGGAGGAGCGCGAGGCCGAGCGGCACCGCGCGGGCCGGCTGCTCCTGCACCTGCAGCAGGACGCGTTGCCACGGCCGCTGCGGCCGCCGCTGCCCCCGGACCCTCTCTGCCTGCACAACTCGTCGCTCTTCGCGCTGCAGAACCTGCAGCCCTGGGCCGAGGACAACAAAGTGGCTTCCGTGTCCGGGCTCGCCTCGGTGGTGTGAGCGACGCCCGTCCGATCGGCGTGGAACGCCGGGCCCGGAGCGGTGGAGCGCGCGGCTGCCTAAGCACGTGGTCTGGTGGCAGCCGGGCGCGTGAGGAGCGGCAGGCCTTGAGGCTGTCGTCGAGGGCTCCCCCACCACCGGCCGACTCCCAAGCCAGCGTTGCGCAGATGCACGGTCGGCTCAGAGGCGGCCCTTCCCGCCATTTTTCACTTCACTGCAGTTAAGCCGCCGCTGGAACCTGAGGAGCCGAGAGGGCGGGACCTGCAGGACAGTAGCCAATGAGGTGCGGGGAGGGGGCCGGGCTGGCCAATGGGAGCTGCTTTCCTGAGGGACTCGGAATTCTCCGGCGGGTGGTCGGGAGCTGGGGCTCTGCGGGGCGCTAGCGGCATTGCGCGCGGTGCACGCTGGGTCCGTACCAAAGGTGTGAAGGAAGGAAGACATCTACTACTGCGAAGTCGTGGAGGGGGTGCCGGAGCGCGAGAGGCTGGCTGATTGTGACCGGAACCAGAGGGTTGTCCACCCCGGGCATCATTCCTCAACTGTAAAATAATCGCTAAGGATTCCTTCCTGACTTTGAGCCTCACGTTGTCATGTGTGTTCAGCCTGCTGGCAACATCCTCCGGCAACACGCCTGGGCAGGAGGCGAGTAGGATACTTACACACCCAACGAAAGAGAAAATCTAGAAAGAAAATCTGGCTCTGGTGTCACATAGGGACAGAGAAGGGAGAGGAGGAAACAGTGGACAAAGTTAATGGGCCCAGTGGAGTTAGGGTGAAGAGAATTTTGAAAATAATTTGGAAGTGACAAGCTTAAGAAGAATCAAAGGTAATTCCAAGACTGGAAATGTGCAGCATCAGGAAATCAGTGGTGCTGTGGATGATGAAAGGGAAATTGGGAAGATTGGAGCAAGATTAACTATACAGGCAAAACTAAATGTTATACCTAGAGAAAATAAATCCTGGAGAAGTGCCTTTGAGGGAGATCAACTGACATCCACATAGAGGTGGACCTAGATAGAATGAATGAGAACAGATAGAATCTCTGAGGGAGGGCACTCTGAGGAGAAAAGCCAAGTTCTAAGGACTAAACCTTTCCACCAAATTCGACAACCACGTTTGCAATGTGCAAGATGATGGAGAATACCTAAGTCAATAGTCCAAGGGCAGGCCGGGCACGGTGGCTCACGCCTATAATTCCAGCACTTTGGGCTGACGTGGGAGGATCACGAGGTCAGGAGATGAAGACCATCCTGGCCAACATGGTGAAATCCCCTCTCTACTAAAAATACAAAAATTAGCCGGGCATGGTGGCATGTGCCTGTAGTCCCAGCTACTCGGGCAGCTGAGGCAGGAGAATCGCTTGAACCTGGGAGGTGGAGGTTGCAGTAAGCCGAGATCACACCACTGCACTCCAGCCTGGGTGACAAAGCGAGACTTCATCTAAAAAAAAAAAAAAAAAAAAAAATTCGAGGGCAGAAAAGGGGAAGGGAAGGAGGAGAACCTAGGAAGAAAGAAAGGAAAGCATGATGTCTCTGAAGTTGTTAGAAAGACTTCAGCTTGTCGGTGTGTCTGGGCTGCTGGGAAGCTTGTTAATAGAAAGTCTAGTTAGGGGATGGTTGCATTAGCCTTAAGGGTTAAAAAGGAATTGGATTTAAGTTGTATGAGGAAGGGAAGAATTTATCTGATTCCTCTAGCACCCCCATCCTTTGTCCCCTGGAGACTGGTGCACTGTGACAGAGGGAAGAGAGGCCAGGCTAGAGACCAACCGTAGTCAGACAACTCATGCCTGTGCTAGTGACAACTATGTTGATCATAGAATGAAGGCCTGACTGGAGATGGGAAGAGGCTGCAAACTATAGTTGGAGGAGCTGGCCCTGGTTCTTTACTGTAGTATCATCGCTGATTTATGGATGTTGTATATGGCACTGCAGGACCAAACTAAAAACTGGCACCATAGAAAAATCTTTTATAGACCACAAGGGAGTACAAGAATGGGTTGGCAAAGTTGGGAGAATGGGGAGCATGTCAGTCCCTCTCTAATCAATAAGAGAAGGCTAAGGAAAGAGTCCTTCCCTATGTAGACTGTGGTTTACCCCATTCTCTCCATTCCCAGCCTACCATTTCTTGGGACTCACTTTCCAGGGTTTATATTTAACCCTAAACTTTGGGCTTCTAAATCTGTCTGGGTGCTTTGGTGCCACCCTGAGGGAGAATCTAATGTGATGAGATGAACCCAGCTCCATTCCATAGGCAGGCAGGTCACTGCAGGACACAGGGATCTCTGAACTCCTGGACTGAGGATGATTCGCTCCCTGCTGAAGAATCTGCCATTCCTTCCCTTAGCTGGTTCAGGAGGTCTCTGCTCTCACTGGGAGGCAAGTTACTCAGGAAGTATGGAGGGGCCAATTCCACCAGCCTAATAGAGAGAGTCATAATTAGATGATCTGCATCTTCTCTTTCTCTGTCTCTTTTTAGAGACAGGGTCTTGCTCTGTTGCCTGGGCTGGAGTTCAGTGGCATCATCATAACTCACTGTAGCCTTAGACTCCTGAGCTCAAGTAATCCTCCCACCTCAATCTCCGAAGTAGCTGGGACTACAGGTGCACACTACCACACCCAGCTAATCTTTTTAAAATAATTTTTGTAGAGACAGGGTCTCAGTATGTTGCACAGGGTAGTTTCAAACTCTTAGCCTCAAGCACTCCTCCTGCCTAGGTCTCCAAAAGTGCATCTTCTCTTATGATGCAGACTTTTAAACTTCTCACCAGCCCTTCCACAATTCCTTTCTCTTCAGATCATGTTTTTACTAACCACTAAGATCCCTTCTTCTGTCTCTCTAACTCCCCAGCCATAATTTTGGCCCCAGGGAGAGGAATAGGCAGTGTAGGAAGATGTCAGGGAACTCACATCTGTGGTTCAATCTCAGAAACAATGGAAAGGCAGTTGTCTTTGGATATGGTGAAATTGTGGTAGAGCACCCACGGTGGGGGTCTGGCAGGAGCTCTACGACTTCGGTAGCAGCAGTATGAGGAGAGCTGGGCCACATGCTTATGGGTTAGGAGTAGGTAATTTCCAGTCCCGTCTGTGTCTCTGGCCACCTTATTGAAAGGCAAAAATATTGATGGAATAAATAAAAGGGAAGAGGCAGACAGTAGAAAAAAAGAAAAGGGGACTGAGAAAGAGTAAGGGTGGTGAGAGTATTAAAAGTAAAGCATTACCTCTAGGTGTTGTCTGGTCTCTACTATACCTCATGGCATTTTCCATAGCCCCTTGTGCCCCAAATCCTCAAGGGAAAAGTCCTTTCTGGATCTAAAGAATCTTTTGAATGGCCACCTGGACCCTGATTTCAAAGTGGCTTACCAATATTTGTTCTCTTTGCCTTTTGCTCCTTTGATCATCCTCACCCCCACCCTTTCCTCTAACCTTGAGAAAGTATCCTGACACCAGTGCTTTCTGAAGGTCTCTGCGATTCTGCTCAGAGCCAAAGGCTGGTAGGGACAAGGGAAGTTCAATTCGTTGCATGAGTTCTAGGAGCTCTCTCCGAAGTTTATGGGCTTGGCACAATGCTGCCCAATTCAGACCTCGAGCCTGGCACCAAGCCTCATCTGCTCCACCTAGGAGAAGAAAGGGACCAGCTAAACTAAAGTCCTTGAGACCCCTGAAATAACCCAACCCTTAGCCAAAGGTCCTCCTCTTTCTGAGCATAGAGATCTGTCAGCTGGCTGCATAACATTTCCCCTCTTTGGACAATCTGGGATTCTATAAGAGAATGCAGAGCTCACTTTGTATAAAGGCTTCATACACCTGGATCAGAGAACTGTGGTCACCATCTGTGTGTTCCAGGGCCCGACGCAGGGCAGCTTCTTCTGCACTGAGTGGAGGACGGGTAAACCCAGGGGCAGCTGGAGGCAGAAGAGCGGAAGGTAGAATCTGCCATTTGGGAAATGGGAAGGGATAGTAGTAAAGGTGGAATGCTGAAAAGGCCGAAGTGTCCCTTTGGGAACTTTATTCAAAAGACATAGATAACTTCTAGGTGTTATGCACTTTATTAAACGTTGAGGATAAACAAATGAAATACAATCTGCCATCAAGGAGCTTCAAGTCTGGTGGGAGAGATCAACAGGTAAGCAGACTTGATAAGCATGATAGGTGTTTGTATATGGTACTGTGGAAACAAAGAGGAGGATAACTAATCAAGGTTAGGTGGTGAGGATGTGAGTGATGTAACAGAAAAGGATGAGGACCCTTGGGTTAGTATTTGAAATTTGAGTAGGAATTAGCAGAGTGGAGAAGGGGCAGGGAGTATGTTTTAGACTGTGGCAACAGCATAGCACCTAAGTTAATAACATAGCATATTTGGGGAACTGCAAGCCATCTGGGATGGGTGGAGGGAATGAAATGACATGTTGCAGAATGGCAGGAGATAAAGCTGAAGAGGTAGGTATAGGTAAGGTCATGAGACCCTGGAGTACTGAGGAAAGGAACTATCTTCAAGGTAAAGAGTAGCTGTAGAGGAAGAGTTGTGTTTTTTGTTGTTGTTGTTTGTTTGAGACAGGGTCTCACTATCTTGCCCAGGCTAGAGTGAAATGGCGTGATCATGGCCCACTGCAGCCTCAACCTCCCAGGCTTAAATGATCCTCCTACCTCAGTCTCTTCAGTAGCTGAGACTATAGGTACATGCCACCACACCCGACTAATTTTTTGTTTTTATAGAGACAGGGTCTCACTATGTTGCCCAGGTTGGTCTCAAACTCCTGACCTCATGTGATCCTCCCATCTCAGCCTCCCAAAGTGCTGAGATTACAGGCACAAGCCACCATGCCTGGCTGAAGAAGAGTTTTTAAGTAAGAGAGTCCATGTGTCTGAAAAAGTTCACATTAGTAGTTGTGAGGAAATCCAGCTGAGCAATGAGGAGGACCTACCATTGGCAGATCCAAGGGCAGATGAATATATATTTACTTTTACAAGATAAAAGTGAAATAACCTGGAGAAAGACTGGTCTAGAGTGATGGTAGCAGAGCAGCAGGATAATAGTATTATCTGAATCTGAGACTCTAGAGAGAGGAAAAGATTTTGTGGTGATAGTGGCGAGGGAGTGGTTTAATAGAGCATTCGAGTTCAGTTCTGAGCTGAGGTACTGTTAACTATTCTGGTAGAAATGTCCATCGGGGCTGGGCGCCAAGGCTCAGGGCTGTAATCCCAGCAGTTTGGGAGGCTGAGGTGGGTGGGTCACCTGAGGTCAGGACTTTGAGACCAGCCTGGCCAACATGGTGAAATCCCGACTCTACTAAAAATACAAGAATCAGCTGGGTGTGGTGGTGCATGCCTGTAGTCCCAGCTACTTGGGAGGCTGAGGCACGAGAATTGCTTGAACCTGGCAGACAAAGGTTGCAGTGAGCCGAGATCATGCCATTGCACTCCAGCCTGGGTGACAGAGTGAGATTTTGTCTCAAAAAAAAAAAAAAAAGAAAAGAAAAAAAAAAGAAAAGGAAAAAAAGAAATGTCCATCAGGAGTTGGGGTATGCTCTCTCTCTGTCTCTCCCTCTCTCCCCCTCTCCCCATCCCTCTCTCCGTCTCTCTCTTTCTCTCTGTCTCTCAGATTCAGAAGAATGGTATTGGGTGAGAGATACAAGGCACAAGGTTTGGAAATGTTAAGGCTAAAGGTAGAACTTCAAACCATGGTTGTGGATAAACTTGCTCAGAGAGTTCAGGGAATAGAAGACAAAAGAGGCAAGAATAGAACCCTGAGGACCAATTTACAATGGATAACAAGAGGACAAAGAGCTCGAGGACAAGATAAAGGGGATGGCCAGAGATGTAGGATGAAAACCATGAGGAGCAGCATTACAGAGGCCTAGGGAGGAGGCAGTTTCAAGGTGAAGCGGTCAGCAATTTCAAGTATAAAAGAAGGTCATGAATAAGGGCTCAAAAGTATCCACTGGATTAGGTACCTGGGAGGTCACTGGTGAGTTGAAAGCTGTTTCACTGGCAAGGTAGACCTGAAGCTGGAGTGCAGTAGGTGAGCAATACACCAGTTAGAATAGGATAGAAATCATGCTGCACAGCTGAAGGGGAGGATAGGGTTGAGGAAGAGGAGTGTGTGAGTTTTAGCAATAACAGATTAGGAGAGATTTAAGCATGCTGGGGGCAAGAACCAGCAGAGAAAAAAGGCTAAAGAGACAAGAGGGAGATAGGTGACTAAGCCTGGTTCTTTAGGCATTGTGAGGGGTGGCAACTGGAGCAGAGAGGAAAGGGCTAGCCTCAGGAGTACCAAAACCCAAGGGGAAGGGCTGAAGTGGCTGCAAGAGCTACAGATTTACAGCAGGGATTTATACCTGTGAGCATGGCAGCCAGGGTGAGCATCTCATCCACACAGTCAAACTCACATGAGGCCAGCAGGGCTTTGGCCAGCTCAGGGGCCAGAGGGAATTCTGATAGTATGACGCCCAGATCTGACAGGTCCCCATCATCATCCAGGGCTGCCAGATAGTCTAAATCTTCCAGGGCTTGCATCAATGCTTCTGGAGCTGGTGAGGAAACAGGGCTTACAGGATGTGAAATTTCAGAACTGGGTGGTCAGATGGCAATACTTGGGCAGGAGAGGTACTCACCAGGCTGGTCCAGGAAGTGACACTCCCCTGGCTCTGCAATCTGTCTCCTTTTTAGTAGTAACACCAGGGAGCTCAGATTCTCCTCACACACCCTGGGTTGGGGCAATGGTGGAGCTTCTAGTTCTAAGAAGGACTTAGGATACAGGCAGAGGCAGGATCCTGAGGGGAAAAAGACCTGGGAAAGACCACTGTAGATTTCTCAGGGCTTGCATGTTGGTGACTCTTGGGTTTTTTATTTCAGTGAGGGCAAAGGCTCTTACCTGGTGGGAACCCTCTTGCTCGCAGTCGTCTTGCCTCTGCCTGACACTTGCTGATTGGCCTCAACACTTGGAATTCTGCTCGGATCCTAGGATTGTAAACCTGTTGCCCGTGCCCCAACCAAGGCCAAGACAGATCAGAGTGGGCCATTTCTGTCTTTACTACCCCACCGCCATCTCTCTCTCACTCACACTTCGGAGCTCCAGTCCTGAGTCGATGACATGTTGGATGGAAGGGAGGGAGAAGGAGAAGTCAGCCAGCCAGTGAGTGACCACAACCTTTCGGGCATCCATGTCCTCATATACAGCCTGAACGGCTTGTCCACAGTCTGGGTGAAGGGGCAGTACTCGTGGTGGAAGCCTTTGGAGAGGCAGGGACTCTACCTCCCTGGACAAGGATTCACAGCAGAGGGAAATTTCCTGAGGAGAAGGGTGGGACATTAGGGCAGTTCTCACCTTTTTGGGGTCACAGATCCCTTTGAAAGACTGTTGAAAATTATGGCCCTTCACTCTGAGAAAATGCAAATACTCATAAAGTTGAAGATTTTATAATTTCAGGGGTTCACTGAATCACAAATCTCTGCATTAAAGGGAATAAAAAAGTGAGTGGTAAACCTCTTTACTCTGAAATCCTCAAGTTTTTCTCTGGGACCCCAGGGGAGAGTAAATACTGCAACTCTACTGTTCCTAACAGGCATTGCTCCCATTCCCATTCCCTAGGACTAGAAGATGATGAGTACCTCCTTTTGCAGGCTTTTTTTTTAAATTTTTTTTATTTTTTTACCTCCTCACTGGGCAGGTACACTAGCACATCTCCTGGAGCCTCCTTCCGACACAACTCAAGCACTGCTTGGCAGGCAGCTTCCACTCGATCAGGGGGGATGGTGTCCCGGTAGATGGGGGAAGGTCTCTCACCAGCCTCTCTGGGTATATGCACAATAGGAGGATTGCCCCAGAAAGCTCGGAGCTTAGGTTCAAGGGCTGGGTCAGTAACCACAACCACTCTGAGGTCCCCTGGAAGGTTTTCCAGCCTGGCATCTTGCAGTAGCCCCTGGAGTGAATCTGATGCCACCGACCGCTCCTGAGCCTCATCTAGTACCAGCACGCCCCAGACTCCAGTGCCCCGGGTCGAGGCCACCTCCTGCAGAAGCAGCCTGTCCCAGCAGAACCTGTTGACATTGGTAGTGGGCAGAGGAATCAGTGTGGACACTGACCAGCCACACAAGCTCAGGGGAACTTCTCCCCAAGGGACGTAGATTTTGATATTGAAGGTCAGAAAAATATGCTGTGACTTCCTGAGCCTGTGGACCCATAACTGTGACCCCACAACCCCAATGAGAACACTTTGTTCACAAGGTATACTCCAACTGGGAAGTGACATTTTTCTGATGAGAGTTAGGCTGAATGTCTGAGGCCCTGGCTGGGATTCAAGGGCTTAATTTAGCCATTGTACCACACACAATTTAGAGTGAGTGGGAGTCAGGCGCGGTGGCTCATGCTCTATACTTTGGGAGACCGAGGTGGGCGGATCACTTGAGCCTAGGAGTTTGAGACCAGCCTGGGCAACATGGCAAAAAATATAAAAATTAGCCAGGCGTGGTGGTATGCGCCTGTCATCCCAGTTACTTGGGAGGCTGAGGTGGGAGGATCACTTGAGCCCGGGAGGTTGAGGCTGCAGTGAGTTGTGATTGCACCACTGCACTCCAGCCTGGGTGACAGAGTGACACCCTGTCTCCAAAATAAATAAAATAAAAAAGAGTGAGTTGGGCTGAGGGAGGGTATGGTGAGATGCCAGAGGAATGGGTTTGTTTCTACGGAGTGAGGGGAATTAGATTTGGGTAAGGCCTGCAGAGGCCCCCACCTGAGCAGGGTGTTGGGCCCTGTGCAGTCCTCTTGGGGGATGCTGTATCCAACTTCATGACCCAGGGTCAGGTCCATCTCATCAGCAACCCGCAGAGCCAGGCTCCGGGCTGCAAGAGGGTAGGGCTGCGTGACAGTAACCTGTCCTTTCTGGAACCCTCTGGCCAGCACAAACTCTGCACACCACTGAGGGATCTGGGATAGAAGTAGGGAAGGACAACCAGTGAGGAAGTTGTAGGACTTCAGTCAGAAGTGCTCAGGGAACTATGGCCACTTTAATCTTTCTATATTTGGGGAGTCCCCTGGTCTTTCACCAGCCTCCTGGGCCAGCCTAACCCATCCCATCTCTCTTTGTTCACCTTCCTCATGACCCCACGAAGTCCAGTACCCCCCGTGCCCAGGGAAAGGCCAATTCCCTAGCTCCTCCCTTTGTCCACTCCCAGAATCAGCCTGCCCCTACAACCCCCACCACACCTGGGTGCTCTTGCCAGAACCAGGCTCCCCAGACACCAGCACCACTCCAGTGGGGTTACTCTCCAACTGCTCCAAGAAGGTAAAGCGAGCAGCCCAGATGGGCAAGGTGTGGCGCTGCTCCAGCAGCTCATAGTAGCGGGAAGAGAAGGGAAGCCCATCAAAGGGGTTCACAGCCAGTTCAGATTCCCCAGGACTTGGGCCATACTCTTCTGCCAGCCTGAGAGGCTGAGAGGCCATGGTGGCTCTCTGGCAGGACCTGCAGAAGGCAGAGCAGTCAGTAAGGTCATATTTGGTGACTGACACCATCTTCCCACCTCAGCCCTGATCCTTAACCTCTACCTTCAGTTGATCATGCTCTGGGGCCCACCCTTCCCAGCATTTCCTGCCAGGAAACAGTGCTAGGTATTTTGATAAGGGGCTACTGAGAGTTAGTGGACAGTCCCTATAGTCAGGTAGTAGAAACCTGCCTGATACTAGTACTGTCGGCAGGTAGTAGAAATCTTACTTAGGCAGGGGTCCTCAAGGGCAGTAGAAATTATGTGAGACCTAGTAACCTGTGGGAAAGTCCTGAAGGGAAAAGGATAAAGAATATAGGGGGTGGGGAGAGGAACAGCAGTCCAAGTGATCCTGGATTCAAACCTGCTTGCAGCTCTAGGACGTGTCAGGACGGCAGCCAGCTCCAGACCCACGTAGTCACCACCAACCCTGACCGTGTGTAAGTACAAAGGTAAATTCCGGCTCTACCTCAGGGCTAGGCTCAAACTTCAAATCCTGAAGCCTGCTTTTGGGGTGGGGCTATTTGCTCCACCTTATTTAACCTACTCAGGAACCTATGGAAAACAGGCTCCAGCCACCACACTGAGCATGTGTGAATTCTACAGATGATGTGTAGTGTGCTTGTGAAAGGTATGCTGGGACTTGTAGTTTTGCAGCAGCTTCGTCCAAAACCTGGGCTGATCACCCAAGCTGGGTCAGTTACACTTCCTTAATTTATCACTCATCGCTTGGCATGAGGAGTTGATTTTAGACAGTTGCAGTCTGACTACCCCCTTCAAATGTACAAGAAGACTCTCACCCCCATCCCCCCAAGCCAAGGAATAAGGAACCCACTCACAGGGCTTTTGAGACCCAGAGAGACAACATACACCTTGAATGAAAACCATGAATTTAATGTGATATTGGGGGAGCCTCATCCTTCCCTTTTACCACCCACCCATCCAGCCTGTTGTGAGTTGGGTGAGGGCTGCCCCCAGTCTCCGTCCTGCGGCTCTGGGTGCCATCCTGTTCCTTTGAGCTCAGTCAGCCTCCTGGGCTCGTCTCTCTGTGAATCTCCTGTGGGACATAGGGAGAGACATTATTCAGGCTTTGCCATAGTAGCTCCATAATTCCATTCTCCAATTTGCCCCAACCTATTCATTACCCTCTAACCCCCTCACCTTCTTGCGTATTCATATAGTGCTTGCTTGCGCTCCTGCAGGCTCTCCTGCCGGGCCCAGGAAGACTTGGCAAATGTTAGGGCTGTTGGCTGAGGGGTCACCGGGCCAGAGCTGGGGAACTGAGGTGATCACAATGTCAGAGGGCTTGCGGAGTCATCATCATTAAACACGCATCGAATGCCTACTTTGCAAGAGAGGCACTATGCTAGGGTCTCAGGATCAAAAAAGAAAGGTCAGGGATAAGGGAGTATGTAGCCTGCCCCCAACTCACCGCAAGACTTGGATCTGACCATTTCCTGGGTCTCACCTTGGGGGCAGAGGCTGTGGGTAGGGACTGAGTTCCCTTGGTGATGTCTTCAGGCATGAAAGCTACGGCTCCCTCAAGCAGATTAGTGATAGTCAAGTCTACACAGCCAGTCTTGGCTGAGGAGAAAAGAGAAGGGAGTCCACTCCTTGCTCACTTTCTTCCTTCACAACCCACTTTTCCTCCCTGTGCCCAATCTCCCGGTGTGGGGCCACCCTTTCCCATACCCAGGTCTCTCTGGATGACACCCAATGGCACATGGGGCAAAACTTCCTTAACTCTCTGAGCCAGAGTTGCCAGTTGCACATCAGGAGAAGGACCAGGGGAGGGAGGGAAAGAAGACTGGGCTGTGGAAAAAGAAAAAAAAAGAAATTCTGGTAAGTAGAGAACTAGGAGAGGCTAACTAGCACAGGAAAAGGGGAGGAATCACAGTAGGGTGAAAAACAAAAAACTCCAAAGCTGTAATGTATAGAGACCACATACCTGACTGGGGGCGCAATCTGGGGTGTCTTTGTCGCTTCATGTGTTCTGCTTTGTCAGCTGGAGTGAGCCGTGTCCCTGTCTGGCCCAATTCCTTGGCCACCAGCTAGGGAGAATTGGAAGACTGGAAGTGTCAAGATCTCAAGCTTTCCTCCCTCTCCTCCTAAGTAGGGACCCCACCTCCACCCTGCCTGTGCACCCGACCACCTGTTGTACACGGAGCGCAAACTCCTCATTCGCTTCCCCTAGTTGGCGATGAACAGGACGAAGCCACCTGCAAAAAAAACAATCCAGGGCTATGTTGTGGGCACCCAGGGTAGAGGCTGTCACCATTCCCCGCTTTGGTACCTCTTTGCGTGGTGAGGGTGGGAAAATAGTAAATACTGTAAATACTTTGTGTTGCTTCTGTGGTAGAACTCTGATATAAAGATCTACAAATGGACAGGGCAGAGGCCACTAATTCCTTGACCTTGAGGTGAGCCTCTCCCCAGCGACCAAAATGTGAGGGCAGTTAATAATACCTTACTTGATACACCGTGAAAGGGACGAAAAGTGACCACAGCAGTTCTGAGACCCAGGAGGCGTCTGACACCGTCTGAGGGGAGGGCATGAAGTGAGGCCTAAGCCAGGGCCAGGGATGGGAAACTTCCCCTCCAAGCCCCAGAGATTCCTTGTTCAACACACACTCACCACAGAGACCAGGGGTCTCTGAACTTGCAGGGTAAGAGGCTGTACCACATCTTGGATAGAAAATGGCCAGGAACTAGAAGAGGAAGGAGAAAGTAGGATGGGAATCCAGCCAGGCTAGTCAGCAGATCATAGGTGCCTTAAAACAGGCAACTGTCAAACTCTACAAGCACACAATTGAAGAAAGAAGGCATTCAGGAGAAAGAACTAAAAGTAGACAGAAAGGAAATGAACTAGAGATGTTGGGGGCTAAGGGCCGAAGAAGGTTGTAAAAACTCAAGGGCCCACAAGCTTGACCACCTACCCAGTTGGCACCCGATACCTGTGCTAAACCCACCTGAAGCGCAGGAGCCCCTCCCGGCCATTGGTGGCCTCTTCCTCAGGGAATAGCAGCAGAGGAGTGGGGGGAAGCCTCGTGGAAGCACAGAATCTCTTGAGTGACTCCACCAACTCCCCCCGCCCATCCATCTCCATGAAGCCCCGAGACCAGCACACAAAGCTGGGGGGACTATTAAGTAGAGGCTGGGAACCAGGAGAAGAGAAAGCAAGAAGAAAAAAATTGAGGAAAATGAAAAAAAATGACATGTGTGGTAGAGGATCGGGGTTAGGGGTAAGGCTCAGTATCCTCCATGGGGAACGCGAGTGGGACAGGGGGGCCTTCAGCTGGGCCCCAGGGAACCGCCCCGTGGCGCTCTCGGCCTCGCTCTCACTCACGGTGCTACAGGTGGTGAGCAAATTGACTATGTTGTGGTCGAAAGGTGTCACGTGGTTGGAAATGAGGACCCTGACACTGTGATCCCGGAGTCCGGAGTCCTCCTGCCGGGCCACGAGCCCCAGTACCGCACACATGGTCCGCACTACGAACCTGGGGACACAGGCGGTGGTGACTGTGTGGCCTCGGGCCAGGCCCAGCTTTGACACTCCCCAAACGCCCGCGTCGGAACCTGCGAAGGACGCTGTCTGGCAGCGCGCAGCTGACCAGGAAGACGTGAATCCCGAGAAAGAGGCGCAGGACGAGGAGGCAGAACCCGACCGGCGCGTAGAGCAGCAGCGCGAGCAGCAGGAAGCAGTCACCCGGGAGCCTGGGGGCGAGAGGCGAAGTGGTCGGGCGCCGAAGGCCGAGAGGACGCAGGGGTAGGTCTCTTCCCGCCAGGTCTCTTACCGGTGCGAGTCAAAGAGCCGCTCCGGCCCCGGCCCTGAGGGAAGCTCCATAACTGCTGCTTCAGGAGCGCCCAGCCGTCGCCGCCGCCATCTTCGCGCCCGGCCGCAGGGGCTCCTGGGAAGGCGGAGTCTTTGGGCATCCGCCCGGGGTGACAGGACCCGAAGTCTTGAGGCGCGCCGGAAGGGCTAGCGGTCCCAGCATACCCTGCGGCCCCTTGGGCCGTCTCACAACTCGCGTCCCACGGAGACCACAATTCCCGGCATTCGCGGGACGGGGAGGAGTCGGCCTCCCGGAATCCTGGTCCCGACGTGCACTTCTGGAGGACTTCAGGTACCGGCGTGCCCCGCGTCCTACTGTCCGCCTGCTCGCGTCCTGGGTGCCGCCTCTGAGTAGGGCGGGCGAGGAGGCAGCCGAGGCGGAGCTGATGGCTGCGCCGAGGGCGGGGCGGGGTGCAGGCTGGAGCCTTCGGGTATGGCGGGCTTTGGGGGGCATTCGCTGGGGGAGGAGACCCTGGTTGACCCCTGACCTCCGGGCCCTGCTGACGTCAGGAACTTCTGACCCCCGGGCCCGAGTGACTTATGGGACCCCCAGTCTCTGGGCCCGGTTGTGTGTTGGGGTCCCTGAACCCCGAGCATGTCTGACGTCTGGGACCCCGGGTCCCCGGGCACAACTGACTGCGGTGACCCCAGATACCAGGACCCGGGAGGCCTCAGAGAACTCTGGAACCCGTTCGCGCGCCTGGCTGGCTGTGGCACTGGGCGCTGGGGGGGCAGTGCTGCTGTTGTTGTGGGGCGGGGGTCGGGGTCCTCCGGCCGTCCTCGCCGCCGTCCCTGGCCCGCCGCCCGCTTCTCCCCGGAGTCAGTACAACTTCATCGCAGATGTGGTGGAGAAGACAGCACCTGCCGTGGTCTATATCGAGATCCTGGACCGGTAATGGGGGTAGACCGGGAGGCACTGAAGTCACGGGCCGGAGGGCGGGCGGGTAGGAGGGGTCAGAGCCTCCTCTTATCGGTGCTTTCCCTCCATTCCAGGCACCCTTTCTTGGGCCGTGAAGTCCCTATCTCGAACGGCTCAGGATTCGTGGTGGCTGCCGATGGGCTCATTGTCACCAACGCCCATGTGGTGGCTGATCGGCGCAGAGTCCGTGTGAGACTGCTTAGCGGCGACACGTATGAGGCCGTGGTCACAGCTGTGGATCCCGTGGCAGACATCGCAACGCTGAGGATTCAGACTAAGGTGGGGGCTGGGGTAGGCCAGGTCTGGTTGGAGCTGCTTGTTTGCTCGCATCTCCAGATGACAGGTCTCTTATACCCATTCTCCCTTAGGAGCCTCTCCCCACGCTGCCTCTGGGACGCTCAGCTGATGTCCGGCAAGGGGAGTTTGTTGTTGCCATGGGAAGTCCCTTTGCACTGCAGAACACGATCACATCCGGCATTGTTAGCTCTGCTCAGCGTCCAGCCAGAGACCTGGGACTCCCCCAAACCAATGTGGAATACATTCAGACGGATGCAGCTATTGATGTGCGTCCTGATAGGAGAGAAATGACACATGATGGGGGAGTGGGGAGAGGCTGTGTGGTACAAGCACCAACTGATATATGGTGGATGAGCCTATATACAGAGCTTAGGCTGCAAAAATGTGGCCACTCATTCATGGGCTGAGAAAGAAGAGAATTTGGAGAAAGTACCTACATCCTGGTATGCCCCCAGACTTAGAATCCTCAGATCTCTTTCATGTTTTCTCCTTGTCCTGCAGTTTGGGAACTCTGGAGGTCCCCTGGTTAACCTGGTGAGTGAGACATCCTTCCTTCCAAGAATCCCAGCCCCAGGTCTGTGTGGGAAGGGTAGGTTTTCCCTAATTCAAGGATGTTTGGTCAAGTTTCTGAGCAGTTCTTTGTTGGCTATCTCTCAACATCCAACTGGATCTCCCCAACACTTGCTGCTACTTTTGTTCGGGTGCCCCCATCCCCTACTATTTGTTTGGGCTAGGGAACTGGGGGATGTATCCCTGCAGGATGGAGAAGTGATTGGAGTGAACACCATGAAGGTCACAGCTGGAATCTCCTTTGCCATCCCTTCTGATCGCCTTCGAGAGTTTCTGCATCGTGGGGAAAAGAAGAGTGAGCCTGGCTTATGGGGAAATACGGGAGGGGCATTCATTGGGACTTCCTGGAGGGTGGTCTATTGGGAGAAGAGGGCAGGGAAGGAAGGATGTAGCTGGGTGGGGCTTATTTGTCCCTCTGTCACAGATTCCTCCTCTGGAATCAGTGGGTCCCAGCGGCGCTACATTGGGGTGATGATGCTGACCCTGAGTCCCAGGTATGAGCTTTAGGGATAGTGACATGTAATGTGACCAGTGTAATCAGAGGTGGGCACCTCTATTGAGCTTTGTTCTCATTTCTGTCTTTATCTAAAATGAACTGTGTCACACTTGAAATAATCACAAGAGCTGTCTCCCTTCATCATCTTGACTTTCTTATCCCACTCCACTTTGTACACCTGTCAAGACTGATTTCATCCTGTTACTGCTTTGATTTCAAGCCTTCAATCCATTAACTTGGCATTTAAGGGCGTTTTCCATCTGTCTGTAAATCAACTTTCTAGACCTGGCTGTAATACCTTCCTATATGAATACTCAGCCAACCTGATTTCCTACTCCCATGTTTTTTATTTATGCTGTTCTTGTTTTATATGGTTAATATCGGACCCATCCTTTTAGGCTCAGCTTAAGTTTTTTCCCCTTAAAGCTTCTTTTAGTACTCTAGAATGACATTAGTGCTATTGATTTAATACTGTTTGTCATTTGGTGCCCTCATGTGGTGTACATCTTTTATGTACATGTTGCACTTTATTGCTAGAAGACAGAAAGTGAGTTGCCGTTGTATTTTGTAGTACCTAGCGCATGTCCTGTCCATCTATTTGCCAGTGTGTTGATGAGAGACTTGAGGTGGAACTCAGGATGGGGAGAATGCCTGGGTTTGGCTAATAGGGTGATCTGTGTACTTTCAGCATCCTTGCTGAACTACAGCTTCGAGAACCAAGCTTTCCTGATGTTCAGCATGGTGTACTCATCCATAAAGTCATCCTGGGCTCCCCTGCACACCGGTGAGGGAGAGGCTGCAGTGTGATATGGGGATGGGTGAGGTGTGCATGTATCCTTGAACTAGGCTTTGTACTCCTTCTTTTCTCTCTGTCCATTTTTCTCTGTAGGGCTGGTCTGCGGCCTGGTGATGTGATTTTGGCCATTGGGGGGCAGATGGTACACAATGCTGAAGATGTTTATGAAGCTGTTCGAACCCAATCCCAGCTGGCAGTGCAGATCCGGCGGGGACGAGAAACACTGACCTTATATGTGACCCCTGAGGTCACAGAATGAATAGATCACCAAGAGTATGAGGCTCCTGCTCTGATTTCCTCCTTGCCTTCCTGGCTGAGGCTCTGAGGGCGCCGGGACAGAGGGTTAAATGAACCAGTGGGGGCAGGTCCCTCAAACCACCAGCACTGATTCCAGGGCTCTAAAGAATCACAGAAACACTTTTTATATAAAATAAAATTATACCTAGCAACATATTATAGTCAAAAATGAGGTGGGAGGGCTGGATCTTTTCCCCCACCAAAAGGCTAGAGGTAAAGCTGTATCCCCCTAAGGTTAGGGGAGATACTGGAGCTGACCATCCTGACCTCCTATTAAAGAAAATGAGCTGCTGCCATCTTTTGTTGTGGGCAGTTAGTCAGGTGCTGCTCTTTGTGGTGTGGTGGGCTCTGCTCTGTTCTGCTCGGTGCTGGGCCTGGGAGAAAAGATTCCCATGCTTGGCTACAGGTACTGACAGCTGGCCTCTGAAGGAGGGTGAGAACTTCTGCTTGACAGTTCCACATCCATAGTACATGGTCTTATGAGTGCGGTTGCTGACATGGGTTTCTTGGTAAGCTCCTGAGGTAATGGCAGCCTCAGACCCCTGCCATTAGGGGCCAGTGGTGGTTTGCAGAGGGCGATGGCACTTAGATAATCTGGTTGCTGGTCTGGCCAGGGTAGCGTTCAAACCTCCTGTTGGCCTCTTCACTGAAGGCATCACCTGCAGAGTGGACAGGCAATTTGGGAGGCGCCCTGCACAGAGGGAGGAAGACAGACCCACTGTGGAGAAAGATGGGTACAAGTGGAGGGACTGAGAGCTCCAGAGGAGGGTGGGAAGATGCAGAAACAAGTTACAGAAAAGAGAATGAACGTCTTTCCCTCCCATCCCCTAATCTTCCTGGGTTGCTCTTCCCATCAAATACCAATGTGGCAGTTGTGCACCCAGATTCGATGTCCATCATATTTGCAGTTACATTTCATTGCATTGTTGGTAAAGTCACTCTCTGCTACTTCAAAATTTGGGTTGATGACAACCTGTGAGTGAGAAAAAGGTCACTTAACCCAGCAACAATCCTCAAATTCAAAGGTGTCTTTAACGCTCCCCCCAGTCACCCATCTGGAAGCCCCAGACTCCAGGTACCTGGAGAATGTAGTTTCCTGGCTTCACGTCTGTGATATCAATCCACTGACAGTCAATGTCATGCCGGTAGAGATCCCAGCAACCCACGGTGATGCCTTGCTCTCCAAAGTTGGCACACTCATATCTCTTGGAGACATCTGGAGGGATTGGCATATGTCAGTGTAAGGAAAGGCTGTGTGATGGATACCATGTGGTCCACTTCAGGCCCCAACTCACCCTCCTGACACTCAGTGTCTTCGAGACAGAAACTAGCTTTGTGGCCCTCAGCTACCTTGGTGCCATTGGGGGTGAGGATATCATAGTGAGTGAAGATGTCCATGCTGTGGTAATGCCTGTGGGGAGAAGGGAACTTCTGTTTCCTTCTCTGCCCCCAGAAGGTTTGCCCCATCCCCGTGGCCTTGCCTTTCTACTTGACTCCCTACCCTCTCACCCATGGCACTCGTGCCACACCCAGGAGTGGCGCCCAGCCTTGGGCCTGAAGTCAGCTCGTCCCAGGTTGTGGATCTGGGAGGAGAATCGGAGTAGACGCCGGTGACCATAGGGCCAGTTGGCTGAGCGGGCTGAGCTGGCCAGGCAGTTCTCTTCCGCAGCACAGTACAACATATGCAGGGGCCGGTCTTCGATATAGGCGGTTTCCTGCACCAATGCTGAGTGCAGCAGCAGATCCGATGCAGCTGCACCGATAAAGGAAGAGGGTGTTAGAAGTCACTGCTGACTTCACAGAGAGGGGTGCTTCCATCCCTCCCTAGTGTGTGAGACTGTTTTTTTGGTTGTGGTTTTTTTTTTTTTTTTTTTTTGAGAAAGAGTCTCACTCTGTCGCCCAGGATGGAGTGCAGTGGCGTGATCTTGGCTCACTGCAACCTCTGCCGCCCGGGTTCAAGTGATTCTCCTGCCTCAGCCTCCCAAGTAGCTGGGATTACAGGCGCCTGCCATCGCACCTGGCTAATTTTTGTAGTTTTAGTAGAGACAGGGTTTCACCATGTTGGCCAGGCTGGTCTTGAACTCCTGACCTCGTGATCCATCTGCCTTGGCTTCCTAAAGTGCTGGGATTACAGGTGTGAGCCACCACGTCTGCCTGGTGAAACTGGTTCTTTTATGGGGAACGAGTGCCCCTCCAGATTACAGACCCCGTTCCCAGCAAAGGGGTGGCCCAGACCCTCCCTTCCCTGGCATGCATCACCCCCTCCTTCACTCACTCTCAGAACAGATGACTCCAGCAGTGAAGCGGGTCCCTGTCCTCTTGCAGGTAGTGTGGGTGCCATGATGGGCACACTGATCCAGGGACAGCTCAGTCCCCGTGCAGCGCACTCCACTCATCACCACCTCTGTTATATTCCCAGAGTCCCAGTACCAGGTCTCCTGGGGATATATGCAGATGTTTCTGTAAGGCCCAGGATCCAGCATCTTGGGCCAAGGGACTCATTCCTCAGCCCTCTGCCCAAAACACAGGCTTTGAGACAACAGCCTCGGCTCCCCTCTCCTTCCCACTCACCTGCAGGCCGTGGTTGGCGTAGCCCAGACCCAGTTGCCTACAGGCCACCATGGCCTCCAGGGTCCCCCAGTCATCCCCACAGATGAGGCCCCAGCGAAGGGGCCCAGGTCCCCCTATTTGCACCTCGACTCGCCCTTCATGTTGGCTGCGGCCCCCACTGAGTCGGATCTGTAGTGACACAGAATGGAAGCGCTGGAGGAAGCTTTGAGGTGAGGTAGTGGGAGTCTGTAACATAGATGTAGCTGAAGCATGACTCAGAGGCACATAATGGGCTAGCAAGTGATGGGTCAGGTGGGAGCTGCAGGATGGCAGGGGCCAGTCCACGGGCTGGGGGCCATTGGACTGTAGATTGGAGGCCAGGCCTGGATAGGATGAAAGAGACCTCAACCAAGGTGGAGAGGATGACTGACCCTGGTCTCCGCCCCAGTGTAAGGTAGGTTGCACCGGACCCCGGCATCCTGGCTATGCGAACAATCCTCAGCTGTGATGTTCTTGTGGGGGCACTTCCAGAGGGAGAGCTCCTGTCCAGAGCAGCGAACTTCACTCAGGTGGATAGCACCCATGCCTAGGACCGGATGGCAAAGATCAGGAAGTTGTAACTAAGTATATACTGTCTGCCCAGGGGACACCTAACCTTCCGAAGGAATGTGCCCCCCAGGAGCATGTACCTCCTTCCCTCTCCCTCCCACCTCCATGCCGCCTCACCCTGCCCCATGCGAGCGCCACTCAGAGCTTCTCGAGCACTCCCGAAGCCCAGCTCCCGGCACACCACGCTGGCTGCATGCAGGTCCCACTTGCGGTCACAGACTGTGCCCCATGTGCTGGCCTTCAGGACTTCTACCCGGCCCTCTCCAGGGTGGGCGCCGCCCTTTAGACGGACACGGGCCTACAGAACAGAGAAGTGCCCAACAGAGGCAAATGGCAACATCTGCACGGAGAGGGCACCTAGGAGATGAGTGAGGCTTTGGTGGGAGGGAGTGGGTGGTATCAGGTCTGTGGCCCACCCCCTGGAAGGCTCCTCTCTGTCCTCAAAGGTCAGGGCTGTGCTTAATCAGGGGTTGCCAGGCTAGGGGTTCTCCACCTGGGGTGGGAAAGGTCATAGTCACTGTCTCACACACCTCCCCCTGAGGCTTCGACTGTTGTTGCTTCTTCTGGCCACTGGATGCTGCGTAGAGAGGGCCTGGCACACAGCTCACCACCGCAGGGCCCCCCCCAGGGCACCTGGCGGTGTCATTGGCACGATAGAACTCCAGGGAACAGAGGGAGAGGTGGGCCTCCGTGCCCATGCACGCCACCCCATGCAGACCAAAGGAGTGTTGCTGCCGCTGGGCCAGCAGCCTGGGGGGACAGGAGTGAGGTGCAGTAGGGTAAAACAATGCTCCTGCCTCTTGGCCCCACAACCATCCTCCCACTTCAAGCCTCCACCATGCCCCCCACCCTTTTATGACCATTTATCCCCTCTTCTTCCCCCTTCTGTGTTTCCCTCCGGAGATACGTGGGGACTGCTGCGTTTCCAGGCTGAGGGAGCCTCAACTACCTAGACAGGAGGGCCCTTGGGGACCTCCTGCAGTAGAACAACCCTAAGGGAAGGATGGCTAGTCTCGACTTGCCTGGAAGAAACTGTTCCAAGTGGTTTCAGGCTGCTGGCCCTAAAGGAGGCTGAGGCTAAGGCCTCAGGGAAGGGGAAACCAGGACTTTCCAGTTGGAAGAAATGGCCAGGAGGGAGTGGCTGACACAGGAAGCCTGAAAAGCCAGGGTGAGCAAGTCCTTCTGTGATGCTGAGACTGGAATAACTGAGTAAGTCAGGATGCAAAGGACTAAGGAAGTCTCCCATCTACATGGCTCCACAGAGGCCAGAGACTCTGCAGGACAGATTAGGAGGGGCAGATGCAGCAAGAACAGACCAGCAGGTAGATGCAGGAAGAACTAGGACTGGCATATGCAAGAATGAAGATGTATAAATGCAGGACAGGTCAACGTCTGAGGGAATAAATGACCAGAGAAAGGAGGTGGATGTGAACAACAAAATGGCAGAGACATCCCAGGACCTGTGCTGTGTAAGTCTTTAAAAAGGCAGTCCATGCTTCTGCAATTTCAACATAACAGTGTCCCAAAGCCATCTGAATAGGATAATAGGACTGAACTATAGATGCTAAAGCTTGGAAATGGTGCCAAGATGTTTGAGAGAATGGGGGGACTTGTTTATCGATACCAATAGAATGAGAGGCTGCAGTGAGGCATGTGCCTGAGTGAAGTACACTCTGCCCAAAACAGTTGGGTCAAGCCCACAGAAAAGGGGAAGAAGATGAGGTCTGGTGTCAGTGGAATGGGTCTGTGAGGCTGATGTGGTCATGCATTATTGCAGTAATGTGCCCTATCACCTGATGTCAGAGGAAGGATGGAGTATGATGACTTGAAGCCACTGGCTAGGAAGACACAGGAGGAAGAAAAGTTTATACACAAAACAGACAAAGGAAGCCTGGAGACTTTACAGAACACCTTTGGAAGCTCAGGATAAATGGATCCTGAAGATCTAGAGATCAGGCACTCTCCCAGAGTCCTGTTTGGCTGAAAGTAAAAA